ATATATATATATATATATATATATATATATATAAATGTAAATGTTCGTTTGTTCAAAATCTTAACTCTCCGAAAGTTCTTCACCGATTGCTTTGAAATTTTGACACGTTGCATTCGAATACGCGCGTGTTTTTATATACCTACTATTATATAGATGTCACACCTGTGACAGGTAAAAACATGATGTATTACAAACGTGCGCTTTCTCTTTTCTTTCTTTTCCATTTAACCCAGTGTTTCTCAACCTTGTCAATTTTAAGGCATGTGGACTTCAACTCCCAGAATTCCACAGCCAGCAATGCTGGCTGTGGAATTCTGGAAGTTGAAGTCCACATGCCTTAAAATTGACAAGGTTGAGAAACACTGAATTTTAACCAGACTGAGCCACAGTAACGCGTGGCCGGGTACAGCTAGTATATATATGAAAATCCAAAATATAATGAGATAATCAGTCCTCCATTTAACGTTCCTTACTAGTAGTGTCTGAAAGCCAAGCATAACTATGAGAAAGGAGAAAAGTTAATTTAAACTACATTCCACAGCACAGAACCACTATTTTTACATAACAAAACCAACCAGCATATTTAACCTCCTCCTGGAATAGCCACAGATTAATGCAGAAATCTTTGATCCTAAAGATCACGGAGTGAAACGACGGCTCACTCCGGACGCAGCAATTAAGACTGGATTTCTCTGATAATTCTGACATTTTGGGAATCCAAGAAAACCTGGGGAGATCTACAAAGGGACACCCTTTTCTGCAACCAAAGCGGGAGGGCATACACAAATCCCTTTCTCAATCGCTGTCCCCTGCTCTGCCTACTTCGTCCCTTCCAGCATTGCCTTAAATTACTGAGCTGTGAAAATTGCTAGAGGAGGATATCGGCTAGCGAAAACTAAATATAAAGCAAAAGCTTCGCCAGCTGCTTTTGCTCGTCCACGACTTCTTAAAACGCTGCCTAGCTTTGGACAGCGCGTCCTGCCCACCAGTTCAGTTGGTTCCCTGCCTGCGTAAATCCGGGAAAGCTCTGGGACTTTGCTCCGTCCCCTTCCCCAGAAGAGGACGCGCGGGCATTTTTTTTTTTAAAATTATTATTATTTTAATCGTGGCTTTTAAAATGCAGAGGGGAGAAAAACTCTCTGTTGCTGGCCGTTACCTGCAGACGTTGCCGACCTTGCGGGTTTTCTTCTTCGTCCTCGGCCATGATAGCTGCGGCCTCGCCTCCCTTTCCTGCTCGTCTCTCGCTCTCTCATTCTTGCAAGCACGGAGGGAGGTAGAGGCCTCTAAAGGCTGGGAGGACTCGGAGCAGTTCAGACGTAGCGGGAGGAGGGACTTTGGAGGTCTTCTAGTCCAGCCCCCTGCTCAAGCAGGAGACCTATATCATTTCAGACAAGTGGCTGTCTAGTCTCTTCTTTAAAAACTCCAGTGATGGAGCGCCCACGACGTCTAAAGGCAACCGGTTCCACTGGTTCATTGTCCTCGCTGTTAGGAAGTTTCTCCTTCATTTCAGGTCGCTCCTCTCCTGGATTAGTTTACATCCATTGCTTCTTGTCTTGTCTTCTGGTGCTTTGGAAAATAAGGTGACCCCCTCAAATTTGTCCAAAATGGTATAGGGTCTCCTGCCTGAGCAGGGGGTTGGACTAGATGACCTCCAAGGTCCGTTCCACCACCACCACCACCACCACCACCATCATCATCATCATCATCATCATCATCATCATCATCATCATCATTATTATTATTATTATTATTATTATTATTATTATTATTATTATTATTATTATTATTATTATTTACTGGAATACTGCTATCATGTCCCCCCCCCCCAGTCCTTCTTTTCTCTAGACTAGCCAAACCCAAATCCTGCAACTGTTCTTCATATGTTTTAGCCTCCAGGCCTTTATAATCATTTTAGTTGCTCTTCTCTGTACTTTTTCCAAAGTCTCAACATATATTTTTTGTAATGTGGTGACCAAAACTGGATGCAGTATTCCAGGTGTGGTCTTACTAAGGCTTTATAAAGCGGTACTAGTACTTCATGTGATTTTGATTCTATGCCTCTGTTTATACAGCCAAGGATTGTTGTATTATTAGCTTTTTGGGCTGCTGCCTTGCAGGGCAACAGTAACTTTGGGTTTTTTTCTATTTTCATAAGAAGAATAACAGAATAGCAGAGTTGGAAGGGACCTTGGGGGGTCTTCTAGTCCAACCCCCTGCTCAGTTAGGAAATCCTATACAATGTCAGACAAATGGTTGTTCAATCTTTTCTTAAAAACCTCTGGCACCCACAACTTCTGGAGAGTATTTCTAACCAAGGATCCTGCTTTAGACCCGTGTTTCTCAACTTTGGCACTTTGAGTGGACTTCAACCCCAAGAAATCTTTGAAAAAAAATCCACCCCAGGAAGTTTTTATGAAGAGATTGGACAACTATTTGTCTGAAATGGTATAGCCAGGCTGCCTGAGCAGGGGGTTGGACTAGAAGACCTCCAAGATCCCTCCCAACTCTGTTATCATGCTTTCCATTTTGTGGGGAAAAAATCAACAACCACCAATTCTCCCCCGGTATCCATTTATCCATCATTTCCTCTCAAAATTCTAGATGTGCCCCGAACCCAAAAAAGTTATATATCGCTTTTCTATATTTTATGGAAGCATCAAAAACAGTAATTCAGGAAAGAAAGAAAGCAAAAATCCATAACAATTCAGAAAATGGGCCTTTTTTTCTCCAAACATAGAAATAAAAATTGGGGTTTGATTATGATTGGTACCCTCAGAATAACTGCTTTCAGAAATCAGAACTAAATAGGTCAAGGAATGGAGTGGCATGCTGCAATAGGATGTTGTGAGTTTGAATCATGAAGAATAAACTCCTATTAGAGGATTTGAAAATGTTTTCAAATGTTTTAATTCCTAAGACACCAGGTTAGAAAGCTGGAGGCCATGAGTTCTAATCCCACCTGAGGCATGAAAGTTGGCTGGGTGACTTTGGACCACTCAATCGCTCTCAGCGCAACACACAACACACAGCTGTTGTTGTGGGTAAAATAGGAGGAGGAAGGTGTGTTGGATATGTTTGCTACCATGAATTATTTGTAAAATTAACAAAGGTAGAATACAAATAAATACATATGTTCACCACTTTGAGTTGTTTGTAAAATAATAAAACCAGGATACAAATATATAAATAAATTCCCTCACTCTCTATGTCTCTATGTCCATATGTACATCCCATGCTTGTGAGATTTCATTTTAAACAGTAAATGCTTTTCATGCTCATTTTGCCCATCTTAACCTTCCTTTGATCAGAGTGATTTTAGAAGTGTTACAAAGTGAAATACCGTGAGATCAAGGCTTGCATTTACCATAAATCCATTAAATAAATGGAATTAATAACCATTACTAATTTAAGGCCCATTTGGTATATTCTACATGTTACAATTCAACATAGAGAAAATCATATGGATGATTGTGATCCAATGATCTGATTTATCAAATAGATGAAGTGCTTGAAGCAACACAGACCTCATAATTTAGGTCCATTTAAAGAAATTAATTCTCCCTCAACATCCAAGTGGTAAAAGAGGAGGAGGAGAAGATCTATTTTTCTGATGACCAGAAAAACATTTAATGCTTAATGACAAAACACAAAAAGGACATCCAGAGATGTTTATACCAATGGAAATATATACACACAGGTAATTTTTTTCCCTCCATATATTTTTATTTACAAGTAACAATGAAACAAAGAAACAAATCCTTGCAAATATATTTACACGCCCATCGAAGAAAACATGCTATTTTAAGATGTGAGAGTTGAAAACAGTCACCAGTGAATTAAAACATTATAACACATTGGTTACAATAAGCAATTATTAAGTGTTTGAGCACTAATTAAACTGCGTCATAATGCACAATAATTAAATCACTGCGAATGTGTCAGAACTGTTGTGTTTGCAAGGAGGTTGCTATATAGCGGAACAATGACAAGCTGTATACTGTAACAAACTCATGCACATGTAAACTACAGTAACTCAGTATATTATCTAACCGTTCAAAAAACATTGACTCTGCAAAGTGTCCCTCTCTTGCTTTAACATATGACATGGCTTGGAAAATATTTGACGTTCACTGATGTAATGAAAAGTTGGTTTCTTGGGTTGAGATTTTGTTTAGTTTTAAACCTCGGGCCTGTAAATATTGAACTGGGTTTTCAGAAGTTCCTGCAGTTACACTGAAATGCACATTAGGATTTACATTCTCTTAATTTTATAAGCTCTGTTGCCTCCTGCGTGGTGTTCCAAATCATTGTCAGGAGAGGCAAAGGAAAAGAAGCCGTTGGCAGACTCGCCCATGGGTGGAGAGGAGGCAAAGAAGGGCTTGAAATGGAAGTCTCCCTCACCATGCCGGCCCTGGATAGGTGTAGTGTTCCGAGAGAATCTGGCAGCATTACCTAGAATATGTGAGTGAGAAACATGATGTTAGAGAAGGGCTTACATTTCCTCTCCTGTAATTAGCTACATTGGTGCCAAACACTGATACATGCACATAATAATAATAATAATAATAATAATAATAATAATAATAATAATAATAATAGTAGTAGTAGTAGTAGTAGTAGTAGTAGTAATAATAATAATAATAATAATAATAATAATAATAATAGTAGTAGTAGTAGTAGTAGTAGTAGTAGTAATAATAATAATAATAATAATAATAATAATAATAATAATAATAATAATAATAATAATAATAATAATAATAATAAAGTTGGAAGGGACCTTGGAGGTCATCAAGTCCAACCCCCTGCTCAGGCAGGTAACCCTATACCATTTCGGACAGATGGCTGTCCAGTCTCTTCTTAAAAACTTCCAATGTTGGAGCATTCACCGCTTCTGGAGGCAGGATGTTCCACTGGTTAATTGTTCTAACTGTCAGGAAGTTTCTCTTTAGTTCTAGGTTGCTTCTCTCCTTGATTAGTTTCCATCCGTTGCTTCTTGTCCTGCCTTCAGGCGCTTTGGAGAATAGCTTGACTCCCTCTTCTTTGTGGCAGCCCCTGAGATATTGGAACACTGCTATCATGTTCCCCCTCGTCCTTCTCTTCGTTAAACTAGACATACCCAATTCCAGCAGCCATTCCTTATATGTTTTAGCCTCCAGTCCCCTAATCATCTTTGTTGCTCTTCTCTGTACTCTTTCTAGAGTCTCAACATCTTTTTTACATCATGGTGACCAAAACTGGATGCAGTATTCCAAGTGTGGCCTTACCAAGGCATTGTAGAGTGGTATTAATACTTCGTGTGATCTTGATTCTATCCCTCTGTTAATGCAGCCTAGCACTGTGTTGGCTTTTTTGGCAGCTGCAGCACACGGCTGGCTCATATTTAAATGATTGTCCACTAGGACTCCGAGATTCCTCTCACAGTTACTACTATTGAGCAAGGTACCCCCTAGACAGATTATATTTAAGTGGGAGATCCATAATCAGAATCTCTCTTTATTTTTAAAGTAAACTATATTACAGATATAGGAGGCGGGAATCTGAACTGTGATGCTAGGAAGAAGTTGCTGAAATATTTCTTCACAATTTTCCAATTTAAACTCCCAAAGCTATTTTGCTCCAGAAGAGAAAACATGCAAATATTGATTGGCACCATATTTATTCTGGAAGCCCTTAATATCCAGATTGTTTAAAAAATAGCTTAGATTCAAAATAATAGCTAAAAATGGATGGGATTCATTTTTATGTTTCATGTTACAATTCCCAAACCCCAAGACAGAACAACACACTGCTTTTCTTTAGGTTGTGCATTGCAGTCTACTGATGCATGCTATGTTTGGTATAATAATAATAATAGTAAAGTTGGAAGGGACCTTGAAGGTCATCTAGTCCAACCCCCTGCTCAAGCAGGAAACCCTATACCATTTCAGACAAATGCATGCAAGTAATCAGAAAAAAAACTTCAGAGTCAGAAAAAGCAGATGTTATTTTCCCTATGGTCATGCATTGACTCACCGTAAGTAGAGAACAGTCAGTCAGTGAAATGTGATAATTAAAAGGTCTAGTTAACCACTATGTTGAGATAATACATTTTTTAATTGCTAGGAAAGCCAGATATGCTCAGTAAGTTATTAACGGGAGCATAACATAGTATACAATACTTGCCACACTCATGTAGTTGTCTAACGCCCAGTATCCTTATCAGTCCTATGTCATTTTAATAAT